GGCCAGCACGCTGTGGCCGGCGCACCGCGCTGATCCAAAGCCAGGAGCCAGGTGCTTCTCCTGGTCTCCCATGGGGTGCAGGGCCCAAGCACTTGGGCCATCCTCCACTGTACTCCCTGGCCACAGCAGAGAGTTGGCCTGGAAGAGGGGCAACCGGGACAGAATCCAGTGCCCTGACCGGGACTAGAACCCGGTGTGCCGGCGCCGCAAGGCGGAGGATTAGCCTAGTGAGCCACGGCGCCGGCTAGAGAAGCAAATTTAATATACATCAAGGTGTGATTAAAGCAAGAGCCTCAAAAGAAATGATCTCATCGAAAACAAAAAAATTATATCACTAACATGAACAGCTGTTCATAATGCCAGCTCCACGTGAGAATTAAGGAAATTCCTTTTTCCTGTTGCACTTTTCCAGGCTCACAGAAGAAATGAACCAGGCACAAGTATGGATGTTTTTTATAAATCTTTTTTTTTTATTCCTATAAGGCATTTATTCCCTCTTGTCCTCATTTTCCTTATCTTTTCTATTTTCTATTCAAAATTGGTAAAAAAAAAAATGCAAGGGTTCTTTTACTGACATTTCGGCCTTACTGAAAAACATGATTGTACAAATATATTCCTTGATGTTGGAGAGGAGTGACTGAATGTTCAGAAGTTCAGCCGTGTTGTGCCGGGCACTGGGGATATACAGAAGATTTGGGCACTGTTGTGGATTAAGCTGTCCCCCTCAAAACTCCTATGATGAAATCCTGGCTGATAAAATCCTGGCTGCTATTACTTCAGAGTGTGCCTGCACTTGGAGCCAGGGCCTTCCAAGGGCTGTTGCAGGTGCAATGAGGTGGTTAAGGCAGATTCTAGTCCAAGGTGACCAGGAAAGAGATGAGGACACAGACACTCTGGAGGACAACTCTGGGGAAACACGAGAAAGCTGTCTGAGAGTCACAGGGGCCTCCCAGGAAACGCAGCCTACCTGCACCTTGCTCTTGGACGTGCAGCCTCCAGAAGTGTAAGGAGGGAAACCTCTGCCGCGTCTGCCACCCAGGCTGCAGCACTTGCTCATGGCAGCCCTTGAAAGCAAGTCCAGGCCAGCGCCACGGCTCACTAGGCTAATCCTCCGCCTGCGGCGCCAGCACACCAGGTTCTAGTCCCAGTTGGGGCGCCGGTTCTGTCCCGGTTGCTCCTCTTCCAGTCCAGCTCTCTGCTGTGGCCAGGGAGGGCAGTGGAGGATGGCCCAAGTGCTTGGGCCCTGCACCCCATGGGAGACCAGGAGGAAGCACCTGGCTCCTGGCTTTGGATCAGTGCAGCGTGCCAGCCCTAGCGGCTATTTGGGGGGTGAACCAATGGCAAAAGGAAGACCTTTCTCTCTGTCTCTCTCACTAACTCTGCATGTCAAAAAAAAAAAAAAAAAAAAGCAAGCAAGCAAGCAAGCAAGTTCTTGGCCTTCAAAAGCTTGAGGTCTAGTTGGAAAGACACAAATGAAACAAGTAAGTAGTCTTATAAGAACTGTTATGGTAAGACAACTATGAATATTATCACTCAAGAATTTACACAGTAATGGAAGAGATAATTATCAAGAAAGTGAAGTAACCTGGGATGTGGTCATAAAAATCTTAAGCAAAAAGAAAAAAAAACAATAACACCTCTCTATTATATGAGAACTCTAAAGATGGTTTGTAAATAAAAAACAGAATAACACTTGGGAAAATATACTGCTTTGCTATGCAGAAGAGCCCCTTGATGAACTTCCATGTTTTAATCTTTTATTGTTACTATAATAGCAATAACATGATACATTTGAAAACATTGTGACAGTGCAAACTATGCAATTTATTATTACATTTTATTAAACAGAATTACGAGTCAGCAAAAAACAATTTAGATTTAGGTCAAATGACAATATTAACTAATGGCCACATTGGTTTCTGTCCCTATCTCTCCCCTCTGGCTCTATTTCATATATTACTTTAGTTCAAGTTTCTGCTTTCGAAAAAGCTAGGGGAACAGTACTCTGAAAGGAAATTCAAAGAGACTTTGTAAGCCTACAGTTTGTACAGAAATAGCCACCAAAAATAAAAAACAGTGATATGGGGAAACCAGGCAGGGAATAAGATAGAAAGATATAAGCTGGAATTTTTCCCAGCTTGGCATTGTAACTTTTTCCTTTCACCTGTCAATTTAACACACCTAACTTTCCCAGGATCCACCTGTGTCTCATCTGGGACCAGAAAGGAAGAGACGCCATGACAGCCACATGGAAATTAAACTCCACGTGGAGGCACCATAAAAATCCCAAAAGCTTCACGCATGCTAAAACTCCACCGTATTTACTTATTTATTCAATTAAGGCACCACCCCTTGCCTCGTTAACTGATAGTGGAGGAGGGGCTGTTTTGCCCTTGACCATGCTTAGGGATTCTTCTCGAGCCTCCTCTCACTCTCATAGGCATTTACTCACGTATGAATGCATGCTCACTCTTTCTCCCTTAAATAAATCCTGTTTCTGTGCACTATATGGATGCCTCGACTTTGAATTCTTATTTATATGGGGTCAAGAACCTGGAACAAAGATTAAGATACCTAGGCTCATAATGAAAAAGATACAAATAACATATTTGAGTCTATATTCAAAGAAACTTGATCAAAAATGGGGTTTCAAAATTTTGGCTGTCTGTGCGCCTTAAAGTAAGGCTCATTTACAAACACACCCAAGACAAATCTGCCAAAATTTGAAATGAGAACAAAGAGAAGTGAGCAGAAGAACTAGCTCTCCATCTTTCTGGGGCAGCCACAAGGGCCAGAGCCTGGGTGACTTCCATTCAGAGCTCAAGTACCTGGCAGGTGCCCAGGCAGCATAAGGGCGACAGCCTAGCAAACAGAGTCTGAATGCCCAGCCTGGAAACAGAGCAGGTGTTTTCAAACAGCCTCCTGCACAAAGGCGACAATGCTGCGGGCAGCAGGCAGCTGCCGAGGGAAAGGTGAAATGTCTCCCAGCTACTCTGGTGCACCGCAAAGTTAACAAGGCGAAAGCAGCTGCTTTGCAGCTGCACTGGGTGTTAATCAAACCATCTCATGAATAGCAGGGAGGCTTATATCACAGACCTTCATTTGCCCCCAAGGTCCTGTTTTTACCTTGCTTTAACAATTCCCGCTGATAGCAATCTGTTGTCCTCATCCCACACATGGCCTGGGGCTTGGGGTTCTGCCCCTTCATACCGGGATGCCTTTGGTAGCCCCTCAAGGAGACAGGCTCCTCAGGAAGGAGGCTGAGCTTTATTTTTGTCCCAGTTAAAGTCCCTAACCAATCCATTAACAGCTAGGATAACCTTGGTCCAGGGTATTTCCTGGAGAAGCTATAACCAGCTGGGGTTAATGAACTCTCCCTACCATTAATTCCTGGGAGAGGCCATTGGCCTGAATTGTTACTTAATTACTCTTCTGTGTACAGCTTCATAAAGCAATGAAATGCCTTCTTTCAGGAAGAAGGGAGACGGTAATGGGGGTCATCAGAGGCCATTAATTTTACAAATAGTTTGCTAGAAACTACAGTATGTTAAGAAGTCACTCTGGCTCACAAATCAACTCACTGTGGTCCTTATTAAGTAGAGATCTGAAACTTCACAGGTTCTCCTGAGTCTCACACACGGAAAGTTACAAATTGCAGAATCTGCCCAACTGTATATACACGCAGGAGAACAGAAACTGATCCTTTACATTTTGCACTGATCCCATCTTCCCCTTTGCTCCTATTCCTAAAGCCGGCAGAAAAGACTCACTTTGAAATATCACAGACTTTCCCAATTTAAAAATACTTTGGGTCATTCTCAGCCTTTTAGGAAGATTCTCTCCGTCCAGGGATCTCCGTTCCCTGCATGGTGCCAGGTGCATGGAAACCTGTGTGTGTGTGAGATATGGCAGGAAACGCTTCAGGTCTTCATGGCACATCTTGATATTTCTGGATCTGCTGCATTCTCTGTCCACCTCAGCACAACCCAAGGTCTCCTCTTGTCCATCAAGCCTCCTAACACATCCGCACCCCAGTGCCAAGTCTGGGCATGCTCTTTCAGCTTCTTTCTCTGCACCGCCAGATTTAAAATTACAACCTCCCCACCCCTCTTTCCCATCCCCCTGTTTGCTTCTTCATAGCATTCTCTTGTATCATACCAAATACTTTGTGTTCCCTGCTCCCTGATTCCTGCTCCCTACCCCTCCTCATTCCCCGCCCCCCCCCCCAACACACACACACAAACACATGCCTTAGAATGTAAACTCCATGAGGCAAACATTTGGGGCATTTTATTTACTCTTTCTCCCTAAAGCTTAGAACAATGCCTCACAGTCATAGGCGCTCTTTCAGTATTTCAATATTTGTTGAATGATTGAGTAGTTAATAGGCCACAGGTTGACATCTGACTACTGGCCACAGGATCCAGAGTTCCCATTTAGTTACATTTCAGCAGGAAGGGACTCCTATATGCCAGAGAAATAAAGAGAGGCTTCCTCTTAGTGCTGCCCAGAAATTAAGCCCATTAAACCTACTGAGGCCTGGCATTGTGGCCTAGTGAGTTAAGCCACCACCTGCAACAATGCCTGCTCCATATCCAATCCAGTTTCCTGTTAATGTATCTGAGAAAGCAATGAAAATGTCCCAAGTACTTGAGCCCCTGCATCCATGTTGGAGATCAAGATGAAGTTTCTGACTCCTGGATTTGGCCTGGCCCAGTTCTGGCCAATGCAGCCATATGGGAAGTGAATCAGAGATGCAAGACCTCTCTCTCTCTCTTTCTGCCTCTGTGTGTGTGTGTGTGTGTGTGTGTGTCCTTCTCTCTGTAACTCTGACTTTCAAATTAATAAATCTTAAAAAACAAAAACCCTACTGCTGCTTAGGAAAGAGTCATGAGACCCACGCAGCCACAGAGCCTCTGAACTCTGTATACAGGATGAGAAACCCCGGCCACCCACCCACCCCCACTGTGACATGCTGCCCCACCCATCCTATGTCAACAGCAGAATCATGACCACCTGGAGGTTCTGAGATTCCATTGGATAGTTCCAGTGGAGAAAGACTAGACTCTTCAGAAGCTAACTGACTAGGGCAGGATCAGGAAGACACTACACACCAGAAGGGAGGTAGAGTTTTTAGAAGAATGGAGAAAAAGAGGAAACAAAGGGGCAGAGTGATAAACAAATTCCTTGTTAATTTAGTTTTGATTGGTTTTAAGACCTCTTTAATACAATGGATCTACCTTTCTGGAAATTCTTCAAGTGGGAAGTGATTACTTTTCAGGGCAGTCACACACCTACACCCATGCCTCTGGGGTCTTAAGGAAAGTAATGGGGCCTAGTGCAAAAAGGGACCTAAGAACAGTTGATGATCTCTGTTTCTTCCTCCTGTCTTGTATTAATTTCCAGAGAGTTTTCTATTGGTAAACTTTCTCTGAATATATCAGCTGGAAGGTCACATATTGAACTGTCCAAGACTATCCTTGTATTCTTAACAAAGCACAATCATGTCATGGACAAAAGAATCACAAGGCTGGGTTTTGTCATGGCCAAAATGTTGGAGTGGAGGGAGGAACCAGTTAATTTGATTTCTGGTTTTAGGGATTTTTTACTACTTTGTGCTGCAAGAATGCATCCATTTCCCTAAATCATTAGGTATCTCTCTGCTGGCACTTTAGGGAATCCACGATGGAAGAATGCACTGAAGATCAGCTAGACTTTGAGTAAGTAACCATGATTATGGAAGCTGCATCCAGGGACCATGGTGTGAGGCATGTGTATTACTGACACATTCCTTCATCCTCCGGTCTTCTTCTCCCTTTCTACTACTATCCGTCACCCCTCCTGCACCCTTCCACAAGTGTTCAATGCCCTTGTGAAGTGAAAGTTATTATAAATACCCCATCCAAGTCAGTTCTTCCAAGATAGGACTGTATTTTCCAATATCAGCCTTCATTCCTACCCAAAACAAAAGTCCTTTGCTCTCACTACCTTACTCCCAGATAATTAATTCAAACACAAACCAGTGAAGTAATTCACATGCAAGAAAAAGAAGTTTTTTGGGAGTTTCCCATATGCCAGGTATGCTTTTTAGACTTCCCTAGAGTTACCATAATTTCATTCAAATTTCATTCAAAAAAAAAAAAAGATGTTTACTTCCTTAGACTCTATGCCTAGAGCATAACCGTGTGTGCTCAGTGGAATAACTCTCACGGTAAAGCCTCAAACTTTTATCAGGCAAGTGGAGAAGTGCTGAGGCAAGAAACGCTGGAATTCTACCAGGCTCGTGGAAACCTCTTGTGGTTTCTCCATGAAGCCAAGCCCAGTCAGAAATAATATGCCCTGTCCCTAGATAAAAAAGTTCAGTGAAAGTATACTGCATGGGTAGGTTCTGTGAACAATTTATCTAAGAAAAGATTGTTAAGAAAACAATTCTCTCCAATGCAAGAGGCTATTCTTTTCATAAAACCTGAGCACTTTGGAGGGAAAACCTGGGAAAGATCTCCCTCACTGACTGAGTTGAGAACTACTGAGCATGGTTAAAAACAAGATTTCTCAAGAATGAAAAAGGAAAGGTAGGCTCTCAGAAAAAAAGTAAAGTTAATGAGCTGCTTATTTTCTAGGTATTGCCTAAGATCCAACGGTTTTTGAGCTTATGATAACTTTGACTCTTGATCATTTTGGGGGGCTGGTTCTGTAGGTCAGAGAAAATGGAAATCTTAAGATTGGCCCAGTCAAAGAAGAACATTATCAGTTTGAACATGGACCTTGAAAAGGATATGCAGAGAATAGATGAAGCAAATCAGGAACTGCTTCTCAAAATCCATGAGAAAGAAAGTGAGGTTCAGAGGTGAGTACATGGGCTCTAGGAAGGAAGCTCCAGTCCAAAAGCAGGCGCCACAGAGAAAAGATAAAAGCTCAATTTCCTTCTAGAGACCTACATCTTGTGTTTCAGAAAACTTATTAATTCTTCATCATTTCTCTTTGGCTCAAAGGCTGAAACACAGAACATTCCAAGAAGACCTCTAAAAATGTCTAAAGGTCTCTAACAGACTGGACAATGCTTACCTGAGTTGATAGAACACTGGGTTGCTTGATGCGGGATGCAGGCAGATTTTATTTTTGGAGGTTTTGAAGTTACTCTGATTCTATGGATCCAGGGAAGAAGGGTTTCCAACATGAGGTTCACATGTTGAAGTGCCCTTGAAGTACCCTTACTGTTGATATCTGTGTTTTATCAGTTCTGAAACTGCCAATCATGAGTCCTCACGGAGCATGCTTGTGTCATCCAGGCTGGAAAATGAGATCACCCAGACTGGAGACTCGGCAGAAGATGAGGAGTGGGAGAAGGAGAACTGCACCACGATGGAAAGGGAAACAGCCTTGCAGGAGCTGGAAGAAGAAACAGCCAGACTGGTAAGCAAGAAGCTGGGAAGAGCTATTTAATAGATTTCACTCCTCATCCTGTCCCTCCACAACTGTCAAATAAGCTAGTCTCTCCTTTTTGAGTCATGACAGAATGTGTCCATGCAAGGAAGAGGAGGTATCGAGGGCAGGGTTTCTTTGGTAATGTTTAAAACTGGGAAGCCCCACAGGTGGGCATCTGTATCTTTTGTGAGTTTGTGTGCATATATTGAGATCAAACCATAGGCGAATCCACATAACATTATGCAAATAAGGTAGAATTCTTAAAGGAAAATCTTGCTGGGATGAAATGGACAACATTTAACTAAGAACAGATGATAGTGTCCAGACTTGCACTCCGTTTTTGTCCACAGGAAAGGAAGAATGAGACTCTGGTCCACAGCATAACAGAACTTCAAAGAAAGGTAGGGTGGGCCTCGTGTGTTCCTATAGTAGCCCAACTAATCAAAGAGGCAAGGGAGAGAAAGTGATCACAGAGGAACAACCACATGTCCAAGAGGCCTGTGCTTGGAGTGGGCCCTACTCTATGACCCATTTTCCTGGGGCTGAGGCTCATAACCTCAATGCCATGGGTTTCCCTGCAGGCAAAAGGTGAAAGAGTGCATGAGGTGTTTAGTGATCCCATTGGTTCCTTTTCCAAACACGATAAAATGGATTCCAACAGACACTCTGTTGAAGTGATTGATGGGACTTTGGTGGTGAGAGGTTAATTTTTTCCCTGTCTGGACAGTTCCTTTACTTCAACCCCTCCTCAGAACACAGTGGACTTCCTATAATTAACCCACTGTCTGACCCATTCATGCAACCCCGAGTAACCCAGCACAAATTAGATGTTCAGGGAAGTACTCCTGCCTTGAGGGGGCTCTAGCCTGGTGGCCAATACTAGCGAGAAGATGGCAGTAGAACAGAGAATTTCCCATGCAGGGCACCAAGGACCACCAAGGGACCATCTCCTGGCAACTCTTCTCAACCCCAGTTCCTGATCCCCTACACACCATAGAATCTTTGCCTCCTATGCTTTTCTTATTTAATGGATTTTTGAAATGTATGTTTTTATCTGAAACTATAGCTTACAAGGAAATCTCAGAAGATAACCAAGAGTGAACAAAGCAATCTAGATGGAACCCCTGAAGAGTCAAAGGTACAGTCAAAAGCACCCTGCATAGGCTTGGACTACGTGACCAGGAAACAGCCTGCCAGGTTGGGAAAAATCACCAACATTGAAACAAAACTCTTTGTAGTTTTCATCCAGGTCAGGCTTACACCTGAGCCAGTGAGTGCTAAACTCTTCTCTGCCATTGGTGAATAAGGAGTTTCACTCTGAACTGAAATTTTATTCTCTCTTCTATTAGGAAGAGTAGGACACAGATGCATATTAGATTTGTGGCGATCAAAGTCCCTAGTTTAAATCCTGGCCCCAGGAATTAATTTGGTGTGTAAAATTGGGCAATATCACCATTCCCTCCCAGCCACAGTGTGAGGATTAGATGAGATAGTGTATGAAAAATAATCTTTTCTCTTTTGGGTAACTAAAACTTTGAAAAATCTCCTAATTGTAAAGTCATTGTTTAAAAGTCTGGCTGAGGTATATGTATGAATGAATAGAGGCAGAACTAGGATTTTTTCCATCTACTGAGTGTGAGACAATTCAGACCTGTCACTGACTTCAGTCTGGAAAAGATTCATTCAAATAGTAATAGCAGTATTAAATCTAAGGACCTAGGGTCATCCACATCCTGTCGGATCAAACAAATAAGAATTGGAGACTTTGTTTCAATTCAGAGAGCAGATAAAATTCTTTCTCAACCCTTTCTCCAGAATTACATCTTTGCCTTTGCCTTCCCTAACCTCTCCTGGCCTTCTAAAGCCTCCACTTTTCAGTGTATGATGTCTCTAAAGATTTGTATACACTGAAAATAGAAATAGAAAATAAAGAGTGTGGAGAGCTACTTACCTAACTGCACCTGGCAAGTTTGGGGTTGATGCCCACAAACAGGAAATCTAAAGCTACCAAGGAAGCTTGATTGACTGTACTCCTTTAGGAAACTCTTCTGGAAAGAAACAATCAGGAACCTAATATATATATTAATAATATATTAATGTATTTATATATTAATAAATATGCAATATATTTTAGTATATATCATATGATAAAATATTTTATATATTATATTTTATTATATATTATATAATATATAATTTATATAATAAACTAATATATATTAATAAATTTATATATTTATCAGGAAGAAATTATAGTTAAGTCTAGGCTCTTTGCTACACTTGCCATATGACTGCAGTGGTCCAGAAAATAATTTTTCTCCCCAGGATATTTTCTTTTTTTTCAAAACACTTTTTTTCTGATGGTAAACCCAGGCATGAATGAGTAGTGACTCTTTAAGTCTGGCTTCCCAGCTATGTGAAATGAGCTGAGCTGATAAAGTCCCAGCATTTCTCGGAATCATGGAAATTATTTTTGCTGGCAGCAGTCAGTCTAGGCTCAAAGAGTTATAGCACATTATTAACTCTTTGAACTACTCTATTTTGCCCATATGTTTTACAGAATTCTCAGGTGGTATCTCTAGTTCTCAGAAATATATAGCACCACTTTTGCTTTAGGGTCCTCTTGTATGTTGGCAATCTTTTCACAGCCTAAAGCGGTGCCTGCTTCCACCACTTGTGATTCACACCATTGGCTTGAAACCATAGCTTTAAGCACATGTGGCTGGACCAGCCCTGCTTGTAATTTATGGGACAGGGGAGTAACTGTGTAGAGTCCAATGTGAAATAGGGGTACCTGGATGAGAGTGGAAACAATAGAGCTTAAAATAGAAAGAAGGCTATTTATATCTGTCCCAGCTCCAGAGCATACCCCCAGTGCATCAATTCTTCTCAGCTACTATGGCTATTACCTTTTTTCAAGCCATCATAACCTCTCATCTGGACAACTTTAGGGGCCTCTTAACTAGTCTAGCTGCTTCTACCCTTACGCTCAGACAATCCATTTTCCATACACAGAAATGACTTTGCTCTAAAAACACAAATCAGAGTGTGTCTTTATACTTCAACCCTTCTCCTGGCTTCTTATTATAATTGTGATAATGCTTTCTAGATGCTACATGTCCCTCCATAATCAAATCTCTGCCTACCTCTCACCTCCTCATCTCCTTCTGCCCAGTCTTCCCAGTGCAACAGTCACACCTCTTCTTCCTGGTCATGATCTTGGCTAGATACTTCTTGGTCTTGGAAGATACTTCTTCCATTTAGCTAATATTTCTGCTTAAATTCCAGTTCAAGTATCATTTCATGAGCAAGGCTTTTGCCAGCCACCTCGCACCACCTGTCACACCAGCCTTGTACACCACCACCACCATCACTGCAATTTTACTTCCCGCATGGCATAGTCACGGGGATTCGTTTGTGACTTCCCACAATTAATGAGCACAGACGGGCTTACAGACAGGTTCACCCCTGTATCCTCAGTGCTATACTCTCCCTCCCCCTTCCTTCCAGTATAGTGGCTGATGCAGAATAATCTTTCACCAACTATTTAAGGAAAGAGGGAAGGAGGAATACAGAGAAGAGGAAAGGAATGAGCAAAAACCTTGGATTCTAACTGATCATCGAACAGGAAAAGCAAGAGTGAGACTTTCAAAGACTGATGTTGTTTTTGTGAGAAATGGCTACACAGGAGACAGAAGATAAAAATTTAAGGTTGGGGTGATGGTGGCACCAAGTGTAGAAGAGCAGATTTATAAAGCAGCTGCAAAATGCATAAAGTAGTTTAACTCCTCCCTCAAAAAGACGTCTGCTTGTGTGTCCTCATGCTCTTCAACAGCCATGAGATAGACTTTGAGATAGCATTCCATTCCTGTGCAGGGTCACCTTGCTAAGTTGTGGGTCTCTTTCCTTTCTTATAGGTTAAGTTACAACAACTGGAAGCTTCCTGTGCAGACCAAGAGAAGGACCTGGTCAAGGTAACAACAGGAACCTCAATATTATTTCTCCCCAAGAAAGGGAAACTTGATTCTCAGTCAGCCAATCTAATGCATTCCTTAAATGATTGACTTATAATAAGGTTCCAGAACCAGGATCATTGTGGGGTTGGGAAGGAGATAAAGAAAAGCAAGATGTATATAATCCCTTAGGTTACCTTCTCTTTAACATTTTGTACAGTTGTTTTGTATGGTGTCCTCCACATAGTATTGTTCCTCTCCCAACTGCCCCTAAATAATTCCCATTTGTACTGTAAAATATGGCTTGCTTATCCTTAAAACAGGAGAGAGAAATATTAATTCAAATGTCTAGCAAAAGCCATATTTAGAGCAATAAGAAGACCACATTTATGGTTTGGGAGGCACAGGAAGGAACAAGTATACTGTTATTACAGCAATTTACCGAGAGAAATTTGGGTTCCCAGGTAATGGAGGACTATGCATTTGTGGCCCAGCTCTGTGAAGACCAATCCCTCTGCATAAAGGTATATATTCTTGGTAAAAGCATAACAAAGGGCTTGTTAAGGTACAGAAGGAAATGGAACCAAGATCTTAAAAAAAAAAAAAATACTGGCTAAAACAATTTTAACTCCTCCGGGTGGTACTGCAAAGAAACTTTAAAGTCATTAGCACTCCACTACAAATATCACTCTATTGTCCTTTAATAGACAGTTACTTCCCTGGTTTCCCAATCTCTGTGCTTTTAAATTAACAGTGAGCACTTCTGCTATTTGTAATCCCAATTACTCTGGTAATCTAGCCAATGGGAGACATAGTGAGAGAGCACAAGGGGTGGTGAGTGAGCTCTATTTATTTTAAAAGATTTATTTTTATTTACTTGAAAGACAGAGTTACACAGAGAAGTAGAAACAGAGAGAGAGAGAGAGGAGTCTTCCATCTGTTGCTTCACTCCCCAAATGGCCACAATGGCTGGAGCTGAGCTGATCCAAAGACAGGAGACAGGAGCTTCTTCTGGATTTCCCACATGGGTGCAGGGGCCCAAGGACTTGGGCCATCTTCCACTGCTTTCCCAGGCCATAGCAGAGAGCTGGATCGGAAGAGGAGCAGCTGGGACTAGAACCAGTGTCTAGATGGGATGCCAGCGCTGCAGGCCAGGGCTTTAACCCACTGTGCCACAGCACTGGCCCCAGGTGGCTGTGGAATAATAAAACATTCATGGTGCATCATAATAAAAAGTATGTGTTGTGCTTAGAAAAATCACACAGCTTCTAAGTAGTAACTGTGATTCCTTATTTCTCTTTGAAGAAGTACCAAGAAACTCTGAGGAAAATAGAAGAAGAACTAGAGACTCGGTTCCTTGAGAGAGAAGTGTGAGCTTTGGCAAACAAAGGAACATCCTGGTTTTAGTGGTAACTCCATCTCAGCCTGAGTCAGAGCAAGCTTTTTCAGACCAATTCCTTTCTGGAGTTGAACAAGCCCAGCATCACATAGGTGTTTCCCGCTGTTACTGATCCGGTTGAGTCTCCTTGACCACCCCAACTTCACAATTACAGTCTTTCTCCCAGCCTTCTGAAAAGACTTCAGAAATGTATCTCCCCTTGTAATTCCATCACATTATCACATCAGTATTTGGGTTTATATTAAGAGCAGAAACAGGTACTTTAAAAAGAATCAGTGACCAGGCACATGATAAGGAGAGAATTCATTATACTTCATAGAAAGGCCCTAAAACTCATATGTTACTTCCCTCAAATGTATGGAAATTCAGCCACATGGGATAAGCATGAAATGAATCTGTAGATACACACTGCAACTACCAAATTAGGAAACTCAGAGCTTTACATTGTTTTAAACTATGAACATTAAAAGTAAAAAAAAAATGATAAATAAAGGAACAGTCCTCCCCACAATACTCCCCAGGTTTGTCATGAGTCCAAATGGTGAGAAACCAAAACCAAAGCTTTACCATCATTACCTGATCCTCACTGTACCCAAATGGCCGCAATGGCTGGAGCTGAGCTGAGCTGATCCAAAGTCAGGAGACAGGAGCTTCTTCTAGGTCTCCCACATGGGTGCAGGGGCCCAAGGACTCAGACTGTCCTCTACTGCTTTCCCAGGTGCATTAGCAGGGAGCTAGATTAGAAATGGAGCAGCTGGGACTCAAACCAGCACCTATATGGGATACTGGAGCTGCAGGCCAGGGTTTTAACCCACTGCACCACAGTGCTGGCCCCTGTATGTTAAATCTTAAGTAGTATTTATATTTATTTAATATTTTAGAATCTTGAGATTAAGAACAAGAAACCAAATCTGCATTTATAGCCTCTAAATAAGCCAATTACAAACTGTGGCATAGAGCCAGGGTACTAGTGCTTGGAGATCTTTGCTACTGAAAGACACAAGTTTGTCAAGATCCTTACTGAGCATTAGGTTATGGCTTGACAGTTAAGCTAAAGTTCTAGAACAGGGTTGCCCAATAGAACTTCCTATGCTATTCAATAGGTACCTACTAACTACGTGTGACTAGTGAGTACTAGAAAGATGGCTACTGTGATTGAGGAACTGAAATTTTATTGTAAATACCTATTATACTTAATTTATTTGAAAGAGTGACACATAGAGAGACAGAGAAATCATCCACGTGCTAGCTTACTCCCCAGATGGCCACAACAGCCACGGCTGGGCCAGGCTAAAACCAGGAGCCAGGAACTCCATATGAGTCTCCCACATTTGTGGCAAGGATCAAAGTAATTGAGGCTTCCCAGGCACACCAGCAGGAAACTGGATCAGAGCAGCCAGACTCAAGCCAGCACTATGAGATGGGATGCTGGGTTGAAAGTGGTGGCTAAATCTATGACACCACAGTGCCAGGCATCGAATTTTTATTTTAAATAATGTAAATTTAAATAAATACATATAGCCAGTGAATATATTGGGCAGTGCAGCTCTTAGAACATAAAACTATGTTCAAGTACACCATTTCTGAGTATACTTCATTCACCCTCTGTCTGGGTTCTTTTCCCCCTAGATCAAAAGTCTTGAGCATGAACTCTGCAAGAAAAGAATGTAGCAGCCAAAGTAATGAGGTAAGCACTGCATTCCCTCTTCAGCTTTCCTCAGTGCCACTGTGTTTCAAGTGAGTTCCCAAAACTCTAAATCTGCCACAACAAAACCAATCTTCCCATGTGTATTTTCCAAGAATAATACTAACTATAGTTAACCATTCCAACCCTGAACAAAGAAGATGCTAAGGAACAGTCCACTTCCTTCTTTTACAGACATAGAAGTGACAAATTCATTTAAAACTAGCCCAAGACCTAAGCTAAGTCAGAATGAAAGCAAGAAGGAACACACATTGAAGGCATATTCTATAGAAAGGAGGCTGGTGCCTGGCACAGACACTACTCCTCCCATCGCCCACAATCACAATCCTGATGATTCTAACCAGTCCCAAACCTTTCATAACACAGAGCACCAGGCATCAGTGACCATCTAATCAGAGTTGGCCTGTGTGATAAAACACAGGAAGCCATTGCTTTTACATGATATAATTTCAGTGTTCATATTTAACATCATGAAGTCATCAGTACACATGCAAAAGTCTGAGGAGATGGGACAGTTGGATAACAAGGCACTAGTCCTCTTAATCTGCAAGCAGATAGGGTTAAAAGGTAACCCTTGTAAATCTTTAACTTTGTAATGTATATTTGTATATATATATATTTTCTCTAGATCCAATCAACAGAAATTTTATGTAGTCAAGGGAAGTTGTCTTAATCATCTCAGACAAGAGAATTCATCTTCACTTAAAATCAAATGTTAACCAGTATCCATTATCCCGGGATCATCCAGAGGTTTGGATATATGTTAGACTCTGTCCAGCATTATGTTTCCATTATTTTCTGAATGAAAGCAAGAAGGAACATTATTCTGAACAAGTCATTAAGGCCCCATGCTTGTATATTTCACTCAGCAATTAAAACTCCTAAAATTAACTGGAGGTATCTCTCTGGAATCAAGACAGGCCTCTTTTGTCAGCCATCTATCCTTGGTAGCTCATTGAAGTATTCCTTCCAACCACCTAGCAGACAAAAAAGAATTGTCTTAATCAAGCTCATCAGAGTCCCACGATAGGTCAAAACCTCAGTGACATTTGAGCAACTTTAGAGAGGCTGTCTGCACAGCTGGCTGTCTGGCACTGCATTTTATTCAACTCAAGTTGCACAACTAAATTGTCATCTGGAAGGTTTCCAATTACAATCATTTCTACGGCTCTAAAACGTGACCATAATTCCCCTTCCTTTTTATCTCACAAGGAAATTAGGACAACGAAATACCAGAAAATATTTTAGAAGATGGATGCCAAAGAAATCTGAGATTATCCTTGTCCTTTGATTTTTATAGCTTCTAAGACTTCTCCCTTAGGTTGTAATTCTGGCTTTTCATAGCCTATAAGCTTCTCTAGGGTCATGGGCTGAGTAGAAGGCAGAAGGTAGAGTTCAAAGGGCAAAGACTGCAGAATCCAAGGACAGAGGTTCTGTACTGCTTCTGCCTCTTACTACTCACACAATTTACTGTTCAGCATGTAAGAAGGTAATAAAATAACAATCAAAAACATAAAAATTTCCGTCTTCACAAACTACACGTGCTCAAGCACCTAAAAATAATTATAAAGTGTTCTCTGAACATAATATTCACCTAATACCTTAAAAAATACTATTTGACAGAGATGATAGCTGTAAGAAATTGTGTTGACAAATGTCCTTTCTTCCTTTCCTAGTGCAATTCTATCAGAAAGAAGGCAACAGAGTTTTGTAAAAGGTAAGTAGAATATCTTGGAGTAAAGTTCCTGGAAAACTGAGGGCTCTAGCTAGGCATTCTGGTAGAGAGCAAAATCCAGACATGTGGAACCTTACACAACCATCTCTCTCTCTCTCTCTCTCTCTCTCTCTCTCTCTCTCTCTCTCTCTCTTTCTCTCATGCACACATACACAGGTTCAAGTCAGCAAACTTGTGTCACTGACTATACATTCTCAGTTCTAGTGTTAAATGACTTCCATAGTCCAAAGGCAACTCATAATCTCAGCTTTCCATTGTCTGAAGCCAATACCCTAGTAGCAATGAGAAACAGAAATCTTATCACTTGAAAGAGATGTGGCAAATTTCAAAAGGTTTCCTGTAACCACTGCAGTTAGCTTGAAGTATACACTTTCCCAGTAGCATCAGTAGATCTGAAATGGGCAGAGAACTACTAGCTGCAAGAATGTCGCTGCCTAACAGCACATAGAACACAGAGAAGATGATTGTGCAAAGAGCACCTAACAGTATCCAGCACACAATAATTGTTCGAAAATACTTGTTAAACTGAAAAAAGAACTCAACATTCAAACACCTGAGTGGGTATTAGTCCTGAGGGAATCATTGCGATAGCAAAGTAAAATTAGTATTCATGAAACCCCCGCATGTTCAGGAAAAGGTCAAATTATGTTAAATATAACCTGTTTAAGAAGGCATAGAGAAACATATATTCAAAGTGGTATGAAATATGACTTAGAAAGTGTTCCGTCAAAATGGTGAGGATGAAATCTTGGGTGCTTAAAGGTCAGCTCCAATTGTCTGGAAAACTTAGCAAAAAGAAACTACCCCTTCACACGCGATAAATGAAGTACCACATATCTTCATATCCCTAACACAACGTTGTGAAACAACTAGCAGAATGGTCTTCAGAACTCCTAGGCTGCCACCATTCTTACCTGTTAACACGCGGTGCCTGGCAATGATGGACTAACTATGCGGATGCCCAGGGAAAGGATTTTCTGCCTCATTGAGAGCTGAAGGGAGGGAACCTCACAAAGACATCACACAAGCCTGGTTCATCCTGTCAACCCCAGTGTCTTTCCCTTTGTTCTGCTCCAGTTATCCTGTGCGGCCCTGGTATACTGGGCAGCAACTCAAGAAACAAGAAAGGTTATTCCTGGGATTTTCCCCTGGGAATGTGTATTATACATTGTATGTAAAAATAGTATATGATGTTAACTATACTTACTATAGATATTATAACCTGTTTTAGGGAAACTTGGAGGAAAGGATTTATAAGAGGGTCTCTGTCTATAATTCTGACCAAAATGCTGCACTGGTATGAATTCTGGGTCCCTGTCACCAAGATCAACCCTAGGAAAACATTTGAGAAACTTGGTGGAGAAGGTGCAGCTATTTTTGACTGCTGAGTGGCGGGGGGGGGGGGGGGGGGGGGGGGTAGTAAATTTCTCCTAAAGCAGGAGGCAGCCGAGCACAGCTAAGTACGGGAACTACAGGAAAGAAGCAATGAGGGCTGGTTCCTGAAAGTCATATGAAACCCACAGGGAATTCATAATTCATTAGTTAATGACAGTAAGACCACCACAGGGAAGTCTATAGAAATGTATAGGAAATAGTAAAGATAACATGAACGAAAGGAGAGAAATACCATGATCATGGACAGAAAACCTTTAATCACAATGATATAAATCACCTCCCAATGATTAGTGAATTCATTTCAATTCTAATCAAATCTCCCAAAAAGTTTTTTATGGAACTGAGTAGAAATGAGCCTAAATTATGTAGCACATGGAAGAGTAAAGGGTTAAAAATAACCTGGACAATTTCAAAGAAGACCAGGGAGTGGGCAACGTGCTCCCCTAGAAATGAGGACATACTAGGAAGCGATCTCAACAACAGTAATGTGCTATGGGTCCAGGAAGAGGAAAACTGACCATGTAATAACGCAAAGGGCTCAGAAACAAAGCACTTAGACAACTTTGGTGTGTGGTGGCAATTTAATGTCAGATGCAAAAGGAAGAACTATTTAATCGAAAACAGCAGGAAAAAATTTATTAGCCATAAAAGGGAAAAAATAAGATTAGTCACCATAAACAATATAGAAAAAAAAGCAATCCCGAATGTGTTAAAGCCTTACATGTCAAAAAAAAATTTTGAAACAATTATTTATCTATCCCTGCATAACAAATGACTCCAAAACTTAGTGGTTTCAAACAACAAACACTATCTGACAGTTACTGTGATTCCTGGCTATAGATTCTGTGGATCAGGAATCTGTGATCCCCTGAGCTAAGTGGTTCTAGCTCAGGGTTTGTCCTGAGGTTGCAGTTACGACCTTGACGGAAGTTGAAGTCATGTTGAGGCTTGGCTGAGGCCAGGGGTTCTATCTCAACAGTAACTTACACGGGTGGTAAGCGTCCTCTGGGAGCTGGCAGGAGACCTCGGTTGCTCAGCATGCGGCCCTCTCCATAGGGCTGTGTGGGTGTCCTAAACATGACAGCTGACTTCCTCCAGAGAGTGAGGAGGAAGCTGCGGGGCCTTTACGGCGTAGTCTAGGAACCCACAGACAGTGCCTTCCGCATCTTCAGTAATTTGGAAGTGAGTCACTTGTTGCAATCCACACTCCAACGGAGGGGAAACCTCTTCAGAGAAAGAGTGACACAGAATTTGTGGATATATCTGAAAACCACCAGCAGCATTCAATAGAAAACATGAATAGCTTTCAGGCCTTGGAGTAGGGAATGGTTGTTCAAATAGGACACAGAAGACATGGGTTCTAATAAAAGAAGAGACATTGGCAAACTAGACATTTTCAAAATTGGGATTTTTTTTATCACTTCAGAGCAAATGAAAGTTACAAAGTTGGGGGAATATATAACAATACACACAACAGGAAATGATATCAAGAACTTATAAAGAACCCATATAAATCAGGAAAAAAAGCTCAGACTATCTGGAAGATAAATGGGCAAGAGGATACAGATAAGGCCAATAAACCTGTAAACAAATGTTCGGCATCATTGTCCACCAAGGAAATGCAAACAAGGACAGCGAAGAGATATTACTTTATACCCAGTTCATCATCAAAGTTTTAAAAATCCAAGAAAATCAAGTGTTGGAGAAGATGTGATTCCCCAGAAACACCTTGTTGGTGAGGGATAAATTCATGGAACCACTTTGGAAAATAATTTGCCACAACAAAACCAAAAGCAAGGGAACAAGACTATTTTAGGTAGTGACAAGTCCTACAAAGAACATAAAAAGAGTGATAGGGAGAGAATAATGACAGGCCAGCACAGGGGTAGAGAATGCCTTCATAAAGGGACAACAATTAATGGGTGACATTTGAGTATCATTCAGGTATGACTATTGTAGTACCACTTTGGTAACCTCTGGCTAACTGTTTTCTTGGCTTTCTCCTCTCAGAATTTTTCGCTACGTCTTTTTCACGACCCTATTTTTCATCAGACTGCTGGGCTACGTGTTTTTCCACTTAAGTTTTATAAATCCAGATCTCCTTGTCGACATCCTGCCCAAGATCCTGAGCAGGGGCATCCTGTGGAAGCTGCGCTGCTTCCTCTTCCCATCCCTCACGCTTGAGACAGAGGACATGCTGCCTCACTGAGCCGACAGACATCCGCGAGCGACAGGCCAGTGCGGATGGGAGATGGCGACTCCTGTGGAGTGAAGAGGTTGCCCTCAGCCTTCCCCTCTACCTTCCTTCTCCATGTCGCCTTTCCAAGACTAACCTTGCCCAGTAAAGAGTTCTGTCAACAGGTGTCTGTGTCTATGTGGATAAGCCGAACAGCACCTCAGAGTAAAACGACCGTGTTTGAATTTACATAAATGCTAAGGAAAGTTAAGAGTTGATTGATTATTCCAGTTAATCCCAGAGATCTGAGACTGGATCCCTGAAATGCAGAAGGCTGCTCACTTCTTACATGAGGTTTCACTTTGAGGCTGTAATTGACCTCAGCTTAATCTAATTTACATATGCATATATGCAGGTATGGGCATCCTCATAAAATAAAAAGTCCATGAGAAGAATAGATCTGGGACTTCAGGCAAAGCTGGATCCAGAAGCCTCAAAGCAATGTCCCTGGGGCTTTGACTCTTCCTTTCTCCTGGATGGCCATTCTTCTTTTAGTGGCAAGGTGGCTAAATCTCATACGACTGATGAGCAACCACAGCAGAATGAAGCAGTCTTTCCCCATAGCTCCAGTAGTAAAGCCTGGAGGAGGACATACACTGATTTATCTAAGGTCAGCTGCCTGCCCCTGTCTCTCAATCAGCATGGCCAAAGGGATGAGAGTACTCTTCAGTGGTCAAGTAGGATTGTACATCCAACCCCTTGTTAAGGAACAGGGGAGGTAAAGGGAGAAGAAAGAGATAAAGGAATCGGTGCCACCTAAATTACATGGAACGAGCTTTCTACAGGAACAATGGCCCTGTTCCAGGATAAGGGGACACGATTCTGGTCAGGCAGAAGTAGATGCACACTTAATGTCTAAACTCCAGCAATCAAATGAATTCCTAAAGCTGAACCTCACGTCATGTGTTTTCTTCCTAGCAGCAAAAATGATGACATCTCAAGATCATACACTGAGATACTGGAAAATCACTGCAAAGAGCTCGATATACAAGACGTGTAAATAAGCAGGTATCCAAAGCTAAAGGACTCTCAAGTAAACAGCCATGACTGGTACAAACTGCTTCAAAAATTGAGGTCACCTCTAAATGGTCACACCCATTAAAATTGCTGAAGTACCCGGACACCTTATTAACAGGATATATTCAAACTCCCTGTTATAGTCTCCCTTCTTCCCTAATTTCCAGGGGCCCTGACAGCTCTGAAATCCAGGACAGGAGTCACCCTGGCTTCCACAGGAGCTGGAACAAACCTGACTCCTGGGTCCACAGCTGTTGCACCTTGAGGCCACATGGTGTCACTGTTGAGAAGTGGGCCTGCACAAGGTGAGCATATTACTGAGCTTATGGAGACACACTGCCGCTAGAAAGGAACACTATTAGTAATTCTGCTAAGACAAGAGGCATCAGAAAACCAGGCTCTCTGACTACATCCTAAGTGCCCCAAGATCCCACATCCTCTGTGTGTTTTGTCAAGCCAAGTGGATCCCGTTCTTCAGTGTCAAGGACAGCCAAGGATGCCCCTGTGTTTAGGACCCCAGAGCCAGACTCAAGGTGCACCTTTCCTTCCATTCAGATATCCTGGGTTCTGCTCCAGGGCCCAATTCCTAAAGGGCCAAGATTAATTCCGGTTTCTGCCTCCTCCTCCTCCCCTGCCACCCCAAGATGCCCTCTGTCCAAGAAATCAGCCTGCTCTCTGGAGATGCACCCCACCAGAGGCCAGGCCCTGAGGATTCTCTCCAAGGAAGGCTCCAAGGTACACACCTTCCCTTCCAGGTGCTTCCCACTTTCTTCTGGAAGCTCTGCCCATGGAGCAAAGGAGAGGCATTAGTTAGGTCAAAGGCAGCATTCGAGCTATCATTCATTTCTATGGTCAAACTTGGATTTTCTATGCTATTATCAACTAATTATCTGTAGCCCATATCTCCATACATCTATGCTTCCAAACAATTATTGCTCAGAATGAAGAGTTCATGCTGATCATGATTCAGAGAAAGAGGGGAAAGGGAGGAAAGGATATATGCTAAACTCCTAGAGCTGTAAGGTGCTGGGGATACAACAATGAAGACAGAGTAAGAGTCCTTGATGGGGAGAGAAGGAAAGGTAGATATAGCAAATGTGCATCTGATGAGTCCTAATAAAAAATAAAGGAAGAAATAACACCCATGCCAATGTCCAATAGGAAATATCAGGTCCAGGATTTGCTAGACTGAGAGGGAAAATAACAGGCTACACACTAAATAAGCTGACTAGCCCCTCACACACTGAGACTAGCTACAGGTGCACCAGCTGGCACTTCAAACCGCCTTCAGAGTTCCAGCACATCGAGCAGCTTCCTTTGACTGTTGCAGCCCCAGCACTCGCTAGCTGCGTATCTCCCTCGTGCACAGTAGAGGGCACTGTTCCACGACGCATGCAGGATCTGCGCAGAAGTCTGTATATGTAAATTACAGCCCTGCTGGATGCCGACCAGCTGGGCTAAGGACAGTATAACAGCAGGCCTATCCCTTTTCACAGGTTTGTAGGCTACAGACAGATATAAACATCAAGAATATGGATGGTAGGGTATATACATGCCCAATATCAAGGGCGAATCACTACCTACAATCATAATTTGCCTAAAATCTTGATTATATATCCTGAGGGAACGGTTTCTTACACAGTTTTTTCTTATATCTCTTTCCATACTTTTATGAATCCCAAAAATAGATCTCACCTCACAATGCTACATGCATTCGGATAAATTATAGATAGATCGATCGATAGATCGATAGGGAGATCAGAATTGAGACAGACAGAGGGGAAATGGTTATTGCTCATCACACTGCAGAAACTATCAAATTCCCCTTGGTCATGCTTATTTTTTCTTTCCAAAGTCCTTTCTCCTCCTACTTCTTTAATAAATCTGCCTTAGTCTTAATCCACACAACCTAAAAATTAAATTTTAAGTACTACCCAGAACCACTCAGTTCTCCCTCTCATACTGTATTTTTCAATCAGTAGCACCGAAATTTGAGAGTTACCCATGAAGTAACCTGAGTTTGTTCTACTACACACAAAGTGTTTAGCAGACTCAGAAGGAGCACAACATGAATTTGCCATGATATTCACCCAGCCTCCTTAAAACACACACGATGTTAGGGAGTATAACTTCCAGTGACTTGGAATTCATTATGCGTCAGTCACTGCTCTAAGTGTTTTTACTTTTTTTTTTTTTAATTTATTTGACAGGTGAGTTATAGATAGTGAGAGAGAGAGAGAGACGGAGAGAAAGGACTTCCTTCCGTTGATTCACTCCCCAAATGACCCCTAGGCCAGTGCTGCGCCGATCCAAAGCCAGGAGCCAGGTGCTTCCTTCTGGTCTCCCATGCAGGTGCAGAGGCCCAAGCACCTGGGCCATCCTCCACTTCCCTCCCGGGCCACAGCAGAGAGCTGGACTGGAAGAGGAGCAATCGGGACTAGAACCTAGCACCCATATGGGATGCTGGCGCTGCAGGCGAAGGATTAACCAAGTGAGCCGCTGCGCCAGCCCCTCTAAGTGTTTTTAGTACATCAGTGTACTCCTGTTAAACACCGTCTTCCAAGGTAGATGCCACCCTAACCAGTTTACAAATAAGGAAGCCAGGTAACACAACTGAGTTTCTGAGCTGAAAGAAGCAGGATCGGTGCCTATATCTTTCTCTAAAGTTTGGCCTATAGAACTTGCATCGCTTCTGACAACAGATGTTGACCAGATGGCCGCCCAGGGAGAGGCTGGAAGACATTCCAAGGTAGGACATTTACCTCCTGTGAAGGCAAACCCCAGGCGTACTGTATTGATAGAATGAAGCACAAGAGAAACTCTCAGACAAACCAAAACCCATAGACTTGGCAAGGAATTTATAGATTCCTCATTCAAGCCCAGCAAGATGCTTTCCCAAGATCACGCAATGAGTTAATGACAGAACCAAAACCAGAACCCAGGCTCCTGAGTCATGTCTCAGCAACCCTTCTATAGAAATAGCATTCTCCAGGCCGGCGCCGCGGCTCATTAGGCTAATCCTCCGCCTAGCGGCGCCGGCACACCGGGTTCTAGTCCTGGTCGGGGCGCCGGATTCTGTCCCGGTTGCCCCTCTTCCAGGCCAGCTCTCTGCTGTGGCCAGGAGTGCAGTGGAGGATGGCCCAAGTGCTTGGGCCCTGCACCCCATGGGAGACCAGGAGAAGCACCTGGTTCCTGCCATCGGATCAGCGCAGTGCGCCGGCTGCAGTGGCCATTGGAGGGTGAACCAACGGCAAAGGAAGACCCTTCTCTCTGTCTCTCTCTCTCACTGTCCACTCTGCCTGTTAAAAAAAAAAAAATAGCATTCTCCAGCTTTGTGTGGAAAACTGTGAACAGCACAGAGATTTTTGCTGCAACTGTGATTTAAAGCCAAAATCAGTTGTACCTTCTTATATCTTTGGGGTGAAAGACTTGGGGGAATAAACGTCCACATTCTCTCCCGGATGCTGTAAAACCAAACAGGAGCAAGGGAAGGGGGGAGAGTGACCCTTGGCGTTTCTCAGCAATTTCTTCAGCAAGGCACCTTACCCTTGAGTTAGACGAAGCCTGACGGGAGAGCGGTAAGTGGAAGACCTGAGCCACTCCTCGTAATAATCAAACAACACGTTTTGGTCACCTCTGGGAGGCAAAGAAGCTGCAGGGGAGAAGGTGGAGAAACACTGTAAGACACTGACATCCAAGTTGGTGGAAAGAGAAGGGGGACTCTCAGGGGACCAGAAAAGCTAATATTCAATTTCAGAACATGTTCTAAATGATCTGTCATATCTGCTTCAACAAAGTACTTCAATCGTTGTTTAAAACCTACCACACCTAATTGTAGAAACGTCTGTCTACAGATGGCCTCTTGGCTACAGTTTGAATCTATCTATCCCTCCAAAATGCATGATCAAACTTGGTCACCAGGGGAACAAGTGTTAGAGGTGGGGCTTTGGCAGGTGCTTGGGAGCTGAGGGCTCCACCCCCATGCGTGGGATTAATGTTCTTATAAAAGAGGCTGCAAAGGGTGTCCACCCCACTTTGCCCTTCCCGTCTTTGTCACGGGAGGCACAGCAGCAACTTGCCATCTTAGAAACAGACAGCAGCATCT